AAAGGAAATGAAACAAAAGGTGGTGGGATGGGATAGGGAAAAACAGTGGAATGAATCTGACCTAACTTTCCTATGTACATATATGAATATACCACAGTGAATCTCACCATCATGTACACCCACAAGACACTATTTTTTTAAAAAAAGCATAAGTTAAAAAAAATAAGAAACTGCAGAGTATACATACAAAGGAATATTATTCAGCTAGAAAAAGAAATCAGGTACAAACATATACTATAACACATAATTGAAAAATTATGCATAATTTAAAAAATATAGCATAATTGAAAAATTATGCTAAGTGAAAGAAGCCAGACACAAAAGGTTACATAATATAGGACACCATTTGTGTGAAATGCCCATAAGAGTTAAACCTAGAGAGACAGAAAGTAGATTAATGATTCCCAGGGACTGTGGGGAGAGGAAAGTGAGAAGTAACTATTTACTGGCTATGGAGTTTCTTTGTGGGATGGTGAAAATGTTCTAAAATTAAATTGTGGTGGTCATTACCCAAATTGTGAATATACTATAAGACATTGAATTATACACTTTAATTGGGTGAATTATATGGCATTTGGATTATATCTTGATAAAGCTGTTACAAAAAAATTTAGAACATATTAGAGGAAATTGAGGAAAAGCAAAGGCCAATGTATTCAATACTCACTTTTATGTCAGTATTTAGATAAGTGAAATTCTCAGCAAAGATTGTCATAGGATGGGGGCTTTTTTTTTTTCAATTTTGCCAGCTTCCCCAGGTCCAGCCTAGCTCTAAGAGCCACACCTTTTCTAAGAATGTAAATTATCTAATCCTTTGTCAGAAACATCTTTGTTCTGTACTAGCTTCAGCAGCATGGATACTAAGATTGGAATTACACAGAGGAGATTAGCATGATCCTGCACAAAGATATGTTAGTCAGCTATTTATCACTGTGACAAAAATACCTGACAAGATCCACCTTAGCAGAAGAAAAGTTTATTTTGGACTCACAGTTTCAGAGATCTCAGTTCATGGTTGGCTGATTCCATTGTTTTGGGCCTGGGATGAGGCAGAACATCTTGGGAGTATGTTGTAGCAGAGGAAAGCTGCTCAGCTCATGGCACCCAGGAGACAGTGTGAGAGAGACAGACAGAGACAATGAATATGAACCCAAGGAGAGTTAGAGATAAGATATAATTTCCAAGGCCATGCCCTCCATGACCTACTTCCTCCAGTCACACCCCACCTGCCTACAGGTACCACCCAGTAATCCATTCAAATTATTAATCAATCAAATAGGTTAATCTGTTGATTAGGTTATAAGTCTTATGATATAATCATTTCACCTCTGAGTATTCCTCCATTGCCACGTGAGCTTTTCAGGGACAAGTAATATGCAAACCATTATGGGTGACATCCAAATTCATGCAGCATTCTATAATTGTTATTAAAAAAGAAGAAAATATCTTTCTTTTGTACTGACTCTTGAGTGGTAGTTGAGCACGTATATAGAATTAGAGGTTCAGTTTTGCTCCACAGGCACTGTGTAAGTATTCATTTTTCAGCTGGCCCAGATTTCTTCTGACTCCACTACAGCAACCCTAGAGAGGTCAAGAACTTATTGGTATACCATTAGGATCAACATTTGGTTTTTACCATGGGGAATTTCTTTTCTTTATTTCAGGTTTTTTCCCAAACTTTATCCAGCATTTTTTGAGTTTATACGGGGAGAAGCCACTCTAGATTATTTCTATCAAATGACGGAAACCAGAAGTGCTCATGCTTTTTTAGTGTATGTATTCTCCTCCAATGTTGGAGCCAGAACTACCTTCCATGGAAGAAGTATGGTGCTGGAAGGTAGGGTCATGGAGTATCTAAACAATTAATCACCTTTCTTCTTTATTCATGTCTCCCTTTTCCTAAAGGAAAAGTAGAAAAGAGGGGAAATAAGTACTGAGAAAGAGGACCCAGCTTTTGGTGTAACCATAAAAATCCCTTGCACTTGCAGATTCCTGGGTTCAAGATTTATTTCTTCTCAACTGGAAAATGCTCAAGGGGGAATCTCAGTTTCCTTCTCAGGCCAAAGCTTAGAACAGAAACTGCTCTACTCTGAACCTACAGCTAAACCATAGGCAGAACATCCTGAGCACTCCACAATTATTGATTTTTTTCTTTGAATATAGAAGACTTTCCCCCAAGTACCTCCAGGAGCATTCATATCTGGATCTCAATTGGGTAAGGAGTGGGGGCAATCAGGGCCATTTTTGCTCAGACCTCCAACTTTATGAGCTTCAAATGCTGGCCACTGTTTGGTGAAAAAATTGTTCAGCAAGTCTTCACATGGACCAACTGTCTCTGAATAATAAAACTGCCCATATACTGGAGCACTTTGTGTATGTGAGGCTCTAGGGTCAGAATTCCTGTGTTCAAATCTGAAGTCTGCTGCTTCTTAGCTCTGAGCCAATTATTTAACTTCCCTGAGCCTCAGATTCCTGGGCTGTGAACTAATATTAATGAGACCACCTACTTTTCAGGGCTGTTGTTGTTTTGACAGGGGCCTTGCCAAGACACATAGTAGAAACATTGTTGTTTCAGTGTCCAGGCAAAAAGTGTGACACACAACTAAAAAGTGCATTCTCACCTTCTGGGTAAATTTATCAGTGCCTTCAGCCAAAGCTGCCAAAGGGAGAGTGGCACCATTTAGGCATCTCCTTGCTATGTAGCTGTGAGTGCCCCAAAATTAATTCACACCCCCCCCCCACTTCCAGCAAGGGTTTCCATGTTCCCATAGCCAGAAGTATACATCAGTAGCTGGAGTGGGGTCAAAAAGCTGCCCTCAAATGGCTATGTATGCATCTGGCCTCCATTAGGCAGGGTAGCAGTCAAAGAACTGGCAAGGACTATTTTAGAGTACATGAAACTGCTAGGTTTCTCCCAATAGACTGGAGAAAAGCTTCAAGTGGTCGAGGTCCTGTAACATAAAGGTGGGAACAGAGGTGAATGACATCTGAATATTGCCTGCTTATGGGCCAGTGAAACCTAGAGAAACATGAAACACCATTTTCCAGAGACAAAATTTTCTCAAGTACTTGGTATATGATAGCCCAGCTCCATGTAGAGGCTGAGTGGCTCTTGAAACATGTGTCTAAAAATAACTTTAGGGTGGGTAGAACAGGGACTGAGCTCTGACAGGGTATGATTGGGCTTCATTTGTTCCATTTATTTCTGGCAATGTTAGCTTGAAGGAGAAGAGAGTCAAAAGCAAAAGGAAGATGAATGCCTGGGAAGAAAAAAAAGAAAAGAACTGCTATTGTTCTCCATTATCATGGATATAAGAAAATCAGTTTCATTTTTAAGACATTTTCCTTCCTGTATACATTTCCTGCACATAAATTGTGACTTCTATATCATCAATTTCTTTTTCAGTGGGGAGAAAATTTGACAAATAATTTTCCAAGCTAAGAGCAATTCTGGCCAAACATGGATGTCCACACTCTCCTAGGGCCTGGACTGGGCCACATGGGAGTCTGTGTGCACAAAAAATAGGGGGAAAGCTGGGTTACTAGAGGCTGGGTGTCCCCCACCTGGAAGTTGTGTTGCCCAACTTATAGTGCCCTCATTTTCCTGAGGCAATAGCACTGGTGATCAATACAGTTTCAGGCAGCTTCTAGAGCCAGATTCTTATGTACAGTACTCTGAGGCTGCCAAATTGTTTGCCAATATTTGTTTTTTCTGAGAATAATTTTCCTCTTCCTGGAATCAGACCCAATGTTTAGGGTAATGGAGCAGTAGACTTGAGTCCTCAGAGAGGGTTTGACCACTGTCCCTGCCTTTTCATCCCCACTGCCACCACCCATGATCAAGTTATCTAGATTGCAATGGGGACTCAACTACCTCTGACCCCTTCCCTCACCCTGCCTACAAACTGTTGCTAAGTTATCTTTCTAAAATATGTTTCTAATTTTGCCACTTCTGTTTTTGAAAGATTTTTGAGTAAACCAATTATTTGGACTATTATTAAATAAACTATTATTAAATAAACAAACTTGTCCTGTTTTTATCAAATTTCCCATTATTCTAATTTATTGTCTTCATAGTATTCACTATCTTATTCTATCTTACTTAAGTGTGTCCTTGCTTATTGTCTATTCTCACCCCCTCTTGTTGGGATGTAATTTTTGTATAAGCAAGGGGTCTTATCTGCCTGTTCCCCAAACAGCAATTGACATATGTAAGGTGATAAATATGAGCTGAATGAAGGACTCAATACATCAAATGCTTAACTTGGAATTGAAACACCACTTGACCAGTTATCCCACTCCTTGTTTTATAACCAAAGGAGTTAAAATCAGCATACTACAGTGTGATAGCCACATCAATGTTTATAGCAGCTCAATTCATAATAGCTAAGCTATGAAAACAACCTAGGTGCTCTTCAACAGATAAACAGATAAAGAAAATGTATGTATACACAATGGAATAATACTCAGCCATAAAGAAGAATGAAATTATGGCATTTTTCAGTAAATGGATGGAACTGGAGAATATCATGCTAAGTGAAATAAGCTAGTCCCACAAAAACCAAAGATCAAATATTCTCTCTGACATGTGGATGCTAACTCACAATAAGGGGAGGAAGAATAGAAGTTCACCAGAGTAGGGAATGAAGGGAAGGGATGGAAGATGGCAATGGAAAAGACAGTAGAATGAATCAGACATAACTTTCCTATGTTCATATATGAATACACGACCAGTGTAACTCCACATCATGTACAACCACAGGAATGGGAACTTAAACTCCATGTCTGTATAATATTATACTGTCATGGATAACTAAAAAGAACAAATAAAAAAATTAAAAAGAAATCAAATTCTTGTAGCCACAATTGAATCCTTTTTTCATAAATGACCTTTATTTGCTTTTATGATTACAAATGTAATACATGCTTACTGTAGAGAATCTGGAAAGTATAGAGAAATAGAAAGAAGAAAATAAAAAAACACCCATAACCCCACCACCTGAAGGCAAACACTGCTCATGTTATGTTCTAACATCTATGCCTGTTGAAAGACCAAAACCCTTATCAAGAATGCTGGCCACGAAGCACAACAGCCAAGGAGAGTGAGGGCAGCTAACAACTGAGGGGAGTTACCAAGAGGTCAGAGCTAGAGATTCCACACTGAAGGACAAGACAAGGGCAATAAACAACAGATCAAGAGGTCAGAAGCTTACAACACAAGAACAAGTGGGGTTACTTTAACAATGTGGTGAGATGGTGCTTGTCAAGAGTTTAGCCCAGTACCTGTCACATGGTACATTATCAATAACTGTTAGCCATTACTATCATTATTATTATTATTATCATTATTATTAATATGGGTCAAAACAAATGGTTCAGGATGGAAACTATAAACAGGGTAAGGACCCTGAAGACCCATTTTAGGTACTATGAGTTGGGGCATACAAGGGCAAGTCAACTGGTTTAAAAGGATGGTACACAAGTGGGTATCACTCTTTATAGGCTCCCCTGCCAGGTGGAATGGAACCAGGGTTTCCTCAAGTTTGCCTGGTGACATACGGCAAGACACTCTAAGGTGTTTTTGAGGTAGGACATGATTTCTCCTGCCTAGACTTCTCCCTGGACCAATGAATAGGACTGGCCTTGATGGTAAAGGGAGTTCACACTCTGATTGTCAGGGCAGGTCACAGGCATGTGGGTGAAAGAGAAGGTCAAGGCAGCCAAGTGGGAGATAAAGTGGGATGTGCCTAGAGGGGGAGGCTAGAGGGCGAAGGCAACAAGGTTTATGATGTAGTTGAATGGAATGGGTCCAGGGACCAGTTCTCAAGTTAGCAGCCAAGTCAGATGTCACAGAAGAGTCCCAGGAGTACTACTTGTTGGTGGGGGCCTTCTGATGGCCTATGCTCTGTCGAAGGTGGTCATGAAGTCCCTCCTGTGGGTCTCCATGCTCTTTCAGGTAGTAACAGCGTTTGGGAACATGTTGGTGCTGGGAGTGAGGAAAAAAAAAAAAAACATCAGTTATAAGAATCACACTTCCTATGACAAAAGGTGTTCTGTCTAACTAAATTCACTGACTTAACAGATTAGAGAACTTGGCTAATTTACCCACATAAAATGTACAAGAGGGCTAGGCTAACCAAATCCCTTAGTGACCTGAGTCTACAAATGCCTATGGTTATAGGTGGGACCCAACCCCTTAAAGAAGCTACGTCTCCCTTAGACTTGGACTTGGAATAAATATTTAGGACTCAATCCAGCCAGTTCCCTTATAATTAGAAGATTTAGTACTTTAACCATCCCACAACTTCACTAACTTGGGTGAGCATTGCTCCTGAAAGCAGTTAATCCACCCAAAATAACTACTCATCTACATTCACTGATAAAACTCCAGGTTGGGTTTTTATGATCTAGGGGATCAATACCTCCCTCTTGCTTCTTTCTTAACTCTACTGAGAAGAGCAGGGTGTATTCTCCATCATTACCTCCTCTGTCTGCTGCTGAGAGCTCAGTTCATTCTCCATGGCCTCCTCATTATTCCGCTTACAGGCTGTCGGCAAAACCTGGCTTGAGTTGCCTGGGGAATCCCTCTCTTCAGCCAGCTGGCACTCTGTGTAGAGAGATCTGTCTATCAGCTCCTTTAGGCTGCCGGCCACCTTCAGGAAGATCCGACCCATTTTGGTGGTAACAGCTTCCGAGAGTCCTTCCAGAAACCTGGTCCGTAGAATGGCATCAGACCAAGACAAATGTCGGGCCAGCAGCAGGAAGTCGGTGGCATACTGCCTGACTGACTTCTGGCCCTGCTTGGGATGGCAAAGAACAGCACTGAGGATGTCTATCTCAGATAGAGAGTCATATAAGCCCTGTGATCTGCTCAGGAAAGATTTATTTTCATTTGATAGGGGATTTCCTACTTCCATTTGCAAGATGGACCACCTCTCTGCCGCCCCTAGATGAAGAGACACCAGAAATGCCATTTTCTCTGAATCATTCAAAAATCCCTTCATTTGCTTCTCCTCATCAATTTCCATCTCATCCTCCACAGAGCATGAACCCCGGGCTGCTTCTTGCTCTTCTAAGAGGTAACAGAGTGCTGGGGTCAACATTCCAAAGGATGGCACTTCCTTTGGTGGCTGGTTTGTTGTTCCAGGGGTTGAGGCAGTCTTATGTGGTGTGGACTTTGATCCCGAAGCTGTGACATTGATGTGAGAGGTAGATGCCCCTCCGGTGTCTGTAGCTTTGATTTCTGGAGTGTTCATCTTTCCAAAGGCTGTTTGTGGTGTGGACATTGCCCCAGGGGCTGGGGTCCTCATTAGCGGTGTGGACATCCCTCCAGAGGCTGTGGCTGTCATTTGTGGCATGGATATCCCTCCAGAGGCCATGGTTTTCAGTAGTGGTGTGGACATTGTTCCAGAAACTGAGGCTCTCATAGGTGGTGTAGATACTGATCCAGAAGTTGAGACTCTCATTGGTGGCTTAACCATCCCTCCAGAAGCTGTGTATGTTGTTTGTGGCATTTCTCCAGAGGCCATGGTTTTCATTAGTGGCACAGACATCTCTCCGGAAGCCATGGCTGACATCAAAGGCATGGGCGTTGTTCCAGACACTGTTGTTCTCATTGATTGCTTGGACATCCCCCCAGAGGCCATGTTTGTTGGTGGTGCAGTGGACATCTTTCCAGAGACTGGAGGTCTCATGAACTCTGTGGACATAGCTCCAGAGACTGAGGGTCTCCTTAGTGGTGTGGAAGTGACTCCAGAGACTGGTGCTCTGACTAGTGGTGGGGATATCCCTCCAGAGGCTGGACCTCGCATTGGGAGTGTGCAAATGTCTCCAGAAGCTGTGGGTATCATTTGTGAAGTGGACCTTGTTCTAGAAGCTGGAGTTCTCATCGGTGCTGTGGACATCCCTCCAGAGGCTGTGGATCTCATTAGTGGCGTGGGCACTACTCCAGAAACTGAAGCCTTCACCTGTGGCATGGACATCATTCCAGAAGTTGTGGCTGTCATTTGTGGAGCAGATATTGTTCCATAAACTGGGGCTCTTGGAGGTGTAGCTGTCTCTCCAGAAGGTGGGCATCTCATTAGTGGCAGGGACCTGTCTCCAGAGGATGAAGCTCTTGTGTGCAGTGGGGACATCCCTTCAGAATCTGAGGTTCTCGTTAGTGGTGTAGACATTGCTCCAGAGGCCCGGGCTCTCATCTGCATCCCTCCTGAGGTCATGGATCTCATGAAAGATGTGGACATCCCTCCAGAGTCCTGGATGTTCACTGGATGACTGGGCATCTTCCCAGAGGCTGTGGCTCTCATTAGTGATGTGGGCATTGCTTCAGGGCCTGGAGTTCTCATTAGAGGCATGGACATATCTTCAGAGGCTGTGACTGTCATTTGTGATGTGGACATTGCTCCAGAGGCTGTGGCTCTTGTTAGCAGTGTGGACACCCCTTCTGGGCCTCCTAAGGCTGTGTCTGTCATTTGTGGCATGGACAGAGTTCCAGAAGCTATGTCTCTCATTAGTGGTGTGGACATCACTCCAGAAGATGCCATTGTCATTTGTTGCATGAACCTTGTTCCAGAGGCTTTGGATGTTGTTAGTGGCTTAGACAATGCTCCAGAAGCTGGAGCTATCGTTTGTGGCATGGACATCACACCTGAGGTTGCATCTCTCATGAAAGGTGTGGACATTGATCCAGAGGCTTTGGCTGTCATTAGTGGGGTGGACATTGCTCCAGATGCTGTGGCTCTCATTTGTGGTGTAGATGTCAGTCCTGAGACTGTGTTCCTCATCTGTGACATGCACATTGCTCCAGAAACTGGAGATCTGATTTGATGCATGGATATCAATCCAGAGGCTGGGGCTGTCAGTTGTGGCACACACGTTGTTTCAGAGGCTGTGGCTGTAACTAGCTGTGTGGACATCATTCCAGAAGCTGAGGCTCTCATTCTCTGTGTGGATGTTGCTTCACTAGCCATACCTTTCATAAAGCTTGTGGGTGTTGATCCTGTTTTGGCCATCGGTAACTGTGTGGACATCACTCTAGAGGCTGTAGTTGGCATTTGCTCTGTGAATGTCACTCCAGAGTTGGTGACTGCCATCAGTGGGGCAGACATAGCTCCAGAGGCTGGGACTGTCTTCTTCAATGTCAACATACTTCCTGAAGCAGGAGCTCTCATCACTCCTGAGTCTGAAACTCTCACTGGCAGTGTGGACATTGTTCCAGAGGCTGTTGCTCTCATTGATGAAGGAGACATGATTTCAGAGTCTAGATTTTGTGTTAACTGTGAGGACATCACTCCAGAAACTGGGGCTGGCATCAGTTGAGCAGGCATCACTGCAGAGCCTAGGCCTGTCATTAGCAGCGGGGACATTGCCTCAACCTCTGGGGCTGGCTTTGGTAATGTGGACATTTCTCCAGCTTCTGGGACTGACAGAAGCGGTGTGGACATTGCTCCAGGGTCTGAAGCTGACATTAGCAGTGAAGACATGACTCCAGAGTCTGGGCCTGACATGAGCATGGTAGACATTCCCTCAGAGTCTTGGGTGCTTGTTGGCTGAGTTGATGTTTCTCCAGAAGCTAGAGCTGACATTATCAGTGATGATATCGCTTCAGAGTCGGTGCCAGACATTAGCAATGAAGATATCTCTCCAGAGGCCAGGGCAGTCATTAGCACTTTGGACATTGCTTCAGTATCTTCATCTGTAATTTGCAATGGAGACATTGCTTCAGAGCCTGGAGCTGCCATTGGCTGTGTGGATATTCCCCTAGGGTTTATATCTGGAATTAGGAGTGGGGATATTTCTCCAGGATCTGGGGCTAGCATTAATGGTGTGGACATTGCTTCAGAGGATGAGGCGCTCATTATAGGTGTAGACATCACTCCAGAGGATGGAGCTGGCATTGCCAATGGTGATATCTCTGCAGAATCTGGTGCTGCCATTAGTGCTGTGGACATTGTTCCAAAGTCAGGAATTGTCATCATCCCTGGGGACATTAAGCCATAGTCTGAAGTGGACAGCAATGGGGACAATGTTCCAGAATCAGAGACTGGCATTAGTAGTGGAGACAGTGTCCCAGAGTCTGAAGCTGGCATTAGCAATGGGGACAGTGCCCCAGAGTCTGAAGTTGGCATTAGCAGTGGGGACATTGTTCCAGAGTCTGAGGAGGGCAGTAGTGATGGGGACAATGCTCCAGAGTTTGGTGCTCCCATAAGAGGTGTGGACATGGTGTCAAAGGCTGGGGATGTCATCAGCTCTGTGGGTGTCCCTCCAGGGTCGGAGGCTGAAGTTGCGACTATAGGCAGCTGTACATGAGAATGCAGCATTTGGACCTCTTCTCTTGTCTCTGTTATTGGTCTAGATAAGGCTGTCCCCCTGTTTTGGGGATCAACATTTTCCTCCCTCATCATATTGTTGAATTGCAGTGAATTTAAAGGTATTGACATATCTGCCATGGCCACAGTGTGGAGTGAGCCCCTAAAGTGATGATATCAGGGGTCCTGATGAAGCTCAAGTGGCAGGAGAATCTGTAAAAAGGAAACAAGTTTGAGATCAAAAGGCAACATCAAGAAGATTGGAAAATACACAAATGATTCATGGTGCAGATGTGCTTATATGTGTTGACCAGTATATGGCATTGAAGATGGGCCGCTCAGGTTAAAGAAGCATTGAGTTATGCAGCAATGCATAACTCTGAAGCTGAAATAAATATCCCTTTTGTCTCTGTCCTTTTCAAACCAACCCACTCAGTAACATGGCACAGCCTCTGTTTATAAAAGCTAGCAACTTCAGGCAGCCATGAGCCAGAACAGTTCTGGCTCACATGAGGTGGCAGCACCACCTTCTGGCCAACTGTGAAAAGTGCAGGCTCCTGGTTTCTGTTCTATCCCACCACAGCACTCCCAAGTCAGCCAAGGTACTGGCGAGACTAAATGCCCTTTGCCCCAGGATAATCATTAGTTCCTAGGGCTCATGGAATCCTGCCAGTGGTTTAGTCCCCATTTTATTATTCTGATGTCCTTGAATGTCCTTCTCAAGAAAAGTAAGGCATTTATCTGACCAATGACTGGGAACAACATTCCATAAACTGAAACTCTGCTTATTAATATCATCCTTAATAATAATACTAATAACAACAGCCACCACTACTACTCTTTATTGCTCACTTTGCATGTGCATGTCACTGAAATTTAGACATTTCTTTGATATCCTACACCAGGGCACACTCTGTATGTACAAATTTCAAGTTTCTCTGATGACACAGGGGTCAGCAATCCTACAGCCTCACCCCTCTGACCCACCCCCATAAGCAGTCACAGAAGTAGCTCTTTGACACACAACTTGAAAACAGTGTAATGCAGACATTACACAAGGTTGACACGTCCCCACTGCCTGCCCATGCCAGAAATGGAAGACAGCTTACTTTGGGACAATGTCACAAAACTTGCCAATCTCATGGTATTTGTGCCTCCGTGATAATGAGAAAACCAGCAGCAAAATACCAACAGCAAACCTTTTTTGAGCACCCACTGATTGGCAAGCACTCTGCTAGGCACTTTACTCACATCATCTCGATTGGTCCCCAAAGCAACACAGAGATTTTGGTAGTCCTCTTTCTTATCTTACAAATGAAAAATGAAGACCCAGAGAAACTTAATAATTTGCCTGCAATCACATAGATCCCCCTGTCCATCCAAATACTTGCTACTTGCACTTTTTATCACTGAGCTATCATGATCTACCTTTCTGCTTTAGTCTCATTACCAAGACCCTTCCCTCTGTCTCCAGCTTGGACAACCTCGAGATGGGGTGTCATAAAAGAAATCCTGACCTCCTGCTAACACTTTGGTTATCCTAATAACTGGTGCAATGGTAGAGGTGAGTCAAAAGAACACTCATGACCTCTACCTCCTATCTTCAGAAAAATCCCTGAACATGTCACAGTTTCCCACTAGGCAAAACTCAGAAGGATCTTACCTTGTCAGTTATGGCAAAGAGGGATAGAGTGTCCTTTGCACCCTTAGCTCTTTTAGTCTGGCCAATTGACTTATACCCTGTGCCAGTTCATTAAAGCAGGACCCAATACCAGCAGCTGTTCTCTGCAATCTCCCTAAGCTATCCCCTGCCACACCCCCCTCTTGCCCGCCAGCCAGCCAGCCAGCCTGCCCGCCCACCCGCCCCACTGCTCCTGACTTGCTAGTGCTTGCTCTGGCTCTCTGGTCCCAGATTCCTGCCTCTATATAGGCTCTGACATTTGCCTCTGGCCGCCTTTCACTTAACAGCCCTCCAGAAACTCCACTTCAGCTCTTGGCCTATCCAACTCCAACTTGTTTCCCCTCACCACCAATAGTCCCAACCCCACTATGCCCACCTCTGGTTGCCCCATAGAGAAAAAGAGATTGAAATAAGTAAGGAATGAGACTGAAAGAGTCCTCACTCAGGAAGTAGACATATACCCTCTGCAGGGTTGGGCAGACACAGGAACCCTGAGAACTGGGCACTATAGCTGGTATGACCAGGAAGCACAGGCTGGGCATTGGAGGTAAGGAAACTCAGGCTGGAGATCAAGTGGAGCAACATCAGAAAATCTCATAGAGGTTTAGGTGCAGGACAAGTAGGGTGGGAGAGGATGGACAGTGGGGGCTACAGAAACAGAGACCTCAATAGAGCCCTGCAATTGTGATAAGAAAAAAAAAAGAGAGACACAGGGGGAAACCTGGCAACCAGTATTCCTGCCATGGAGAAAGGACTCAACAGTAAGGGTCCATGGATTTCAGACAGTTGCAAAAAAAAATATGCCAGTCTTGGGGCTGGGGTTGTGGTTCAGCGGTAGAGAGCTCGTCTAATATGTGCGAGGCACTGGGTTCGATCCTCAGCCCCACATTAAAAAAATAATAAATAAGTAAAATAAAGTTATTGTGTCCATATATGACCAAAATATTTTTAAAAAAAAAGAAAAAGAAAAATATGCTAGTTTTGAGCATACCAGGTAAGACTCATATCATAGAACTGGGGTTTTAACCTGCTTTCTAGAACCAGAGCTCAAGGTCAGAGTAGAAGCAGCGAAAAGGTTGCCAGTGTCCTCCCTCCCGTCTTTTTGAATCACTGCCACTTAACCCTTCAGTCTAACCCTTCACTCTAAGTTCTGGGTAGGGCAAAGCCTTCAGGTGAAGTTCAAGTAGCCCAGTTATATGGACTCAGAGTTTAGGATGGAGGCATTTAAGTCATTAGGCACCTCAAAAGTAACAACCAGGACTGGGATCGTGGCTCAGTGGTAGAGCGCTCGCCTAGCACTGGGTTCAGTCCTCAGCACCACATATAAATAAATACATATACTAAAGGCATGCTGTCCATCTACAACTATAAAAACATTTTTTAAAAAAAAGTAACAACCAACAATAACTGAGTACATAGTCAAAGCCCTAGACCTCTCAGCATCACCTGAGGTGGGAGAAATGGGCTTGGTAAAGTTTATGTGACCAAGGACACAGAGCTAGTAAAAATAGCAAGCACAGATTTGAGCCCCAGTCTGCTTCCAAAATCATTTTCTCTCTATGTAATCAGACAGGTGATTAGAAACACTCTAAGTGTTCCACTTATTGCCACCTGCCCTCACACCACCAAGAAAGGAAAGTTTCTCACTACAAATGGCTGAAACATTGTAGTAGTAGTAGTAGTAGCAGTAGTAATACCAGCTGACCTTGATTAAACTCTTCCCATATGTCAAGAACAATGCTGAGGCCTTCGTGAGCATTATCTCATTTGATCTTTACAACTACTCTGCCAGGGAGGCACTTTTAATTTTCAGTTAATGGGTAAAGAAACTGAGCCTCAGTGAGGTGAATTGACATGACCAAAAGCCCACAGCTCTGTCTGACTCCAAGCCTCATATAATATATATTACTCCAAAAGAAAAGTTTCAGTGGCTCACCCATCACCCCTAAACCAAAACTAAGCCTTAGAAAACAGCTTCAAAACAACTGTTATTAATATTATTAACATACCTAATAATTAAAACTGAAGTTACTGCACCAAACACTGTGCTAAGTACTTTACTTATATGATCCTGTTTGATACTCATGACATCCCTGTTACAGGTACTATTATCAACTTCATTTTTCAGATCAGAAAAACAAAGCACAGAGAGATTAACTAGCTTCCCCAATGTCACACAGCTAAAGAGCAGAGTTGTCTACAGTAATTAAAAATCAGGACGGACACACTGTGCACCCCTGCAATCCCAGAGACTCTGGAGGCTGAGGTAGAAGGAGTAAAAGTTCGAGGCCAGCCTGAGAAATATAGCAAGACTCTGTCTCAAAATTTTAAAAAAATACGAAGGGCTAGGGATGTAATTCACTAGTAAAGCATCTCTGGGTTCAATCCCCAGTATTAAAAAAATTGTGACATAATTTGATGATTAAATGAATCATTATGCTTATAATGTCCCTAATTTAGCCATTGAGAATCATGTTCTACTATGGACATAATTATCAAAATTTTATAAAATAAAATATTTTTGCACAGAAAAATAAAATCTGAAAGGATATATACCAAAATATTCACATTGACCATATTTGAATGGTGAAAGAACGGGGGGGGGGCGGTATTTTCATTTTCTTTATTTGTATTTTCACATTCATTTATAATGCACCCTTTATACTTGTATGAAAAATGTAATAAAAGTTAATTTTCTTTTTTTAAAGAGATATATGATTCCTTTTGATTGTATCTCTAGCTCTTCTCACACCTCTTCCTGCATGAGCTCTGTAGGCACACCCAACATCCCTCCACCAAAACAACTTTTCTCCCCCAACAAACTTAGCAGTTGCACCACTTGGATCTTTGGTCAGAAGTGACCCTGAAAAAGTGTCTCCAGTGGCTTGATTTTATTTTGGTATTTGGAGTTTGTCTTAAAAATGATCTCTTGGTTGTTTTTTTTTTTTTTTTTTTTTGAACTTTGTGTTTAATAATTACACAGATAATCTAGGAATTTATTCTCAGGGTAAAACCTTGAAATCCTCCATACAGATAAAGCTAAAGTCCTGAGACTACTTCTCCCCCCCCCCAAGTCCCATTCCTCTGTCTGTTCACAGTTGGGTGTGTCTCCTTCCAAACTTTTTCTAGCTGCAATGGCATTCAGAGTTTATATTCATGCAAATGCTTGCAAAACCCAGTGTGAGCAAAAAGCTACAGTTAGAAAAACCATTCTGGCACTGGTCACTCCAGGGTTCCAAGTTCTGGTCCACTGTCACTTGACTGTTTTCATCAGCCTGATTCTAAGGAGACTACTGAGAGAGGGCTCTTGCATGCTCAGTCCATTTGGAGCATAGACTTCTGTTTGATTAAAGCGAGAGTCTCTAGGAACACAGAGAAGGGAGGCCTTCTAAGGAAGGAAAAGCCCAGAAATTGCTGCTTTAGCATCTCTCAGGTCCCTCACGTCCCACCCAGTCTGTGCTGATCAATACGGCTAGGAGGTGTCATGCTCCTGCTGCCTCACAAAAGGTAATTGA